CAACTTAAATGAAAAAATATTAAGTGAGAGATGGATTGACTAATATTTATAGTATTAAAAGACCAAGAGAGTCCAGGAAAATGGAAAGGATGAGTTAGAGCCTAAAACATAGATTTTTGTGGCCCCAAGAAACTCTGAATTTAAGGAAAGCCTCTACAGTGAAAATTTCCTATGCTGTAGCATAGAAGTAAAGATAGATTCAAGCTTTAAGATGAAAAAAAGACACACACACACACACACACACACACACACACGTATGTTTTGAATCACTAAAATGAAAGCATAGGAGAGAATTCAAAAACAGCATCCCTGACCTACTAGAATCTGTAGCCTGGCTTTGACCTGCCTGCTAAGTGCTCCAGCCACACTGACTTCCCCCAGTTCCTTGGGTGCCCCTTGCTCCTTTCTGCCACAAGGTCTCTTCACATGTGCTTTCTCCGCCCGCACCCTCTTCTCTCTCTTTCCCCAACCACTGCCCTCTCCCACTTTGCCTAGTTAACTGCTCTGGATCCTTTACATCTCAGGTTAAACTGCTTTCTCATTCTGACCAAGTCAACCCTCTATCAGAGACACTCTCCCTACAAGCACTTCCAATCACCACTTTGCGTTTCTTCACATGGTTTTCTTGATCAACCTCACCTTCCCCCTCCAAACTATAAGCTCCATGATGGCAGGCTTGAACTCGTAACACCTCACTCCTCTTCCCCTAGCACCGTGGTTGGCAAACTGCGGCTCGCGAGCCCATGCGGCTCTTTGGCCCCTTGAGTGTGGCTCTTCCTAAGCCTTAGGAGTACCCTAATTAAGTTAAGAACAATGTACCTACCTATATAGTTTAAGTTTAAAAAATTTGGCTCTCAAAAGAAATTTCAATCGTTGTACTGTTGATATTTGGCTCTGTTGACTAATGAGTTTGCCGACCACTGCCCTAGCACCACCCAACACACTGCCTGCCATACAGCAGGTGCTTAACGAATCGCTCATAATTCTTTAATGAGTGAATGAATGAACCTGTTAATTTCATTCACCTTAGTCTCCCTTGGATTTGTCTTTCTCAAAACAGTTAACAGTAGTTTGAAAAAGTCCTCTGATAAAGAATGCCACTCTGTAATTTTCACTGTGTATTACACCTGAGATGAATTTCTCCCTCCAGTTTGTTGGTTTGTTAGGTAGGAAGGGATCATAAAGGTCCCCTAGGGCCGTGGTCAGCAAACTGCGGCTCGCGAGCCACATGCGGCTCTTTGGCCCCTTGAGTGTGGCTCTTCCACAAAATACCACGTGCGGGCGCGCACGTACAGTGCAATTGATACTTCGTGGCCCATGCGCAGAATTCAGTATTTTGTGGAAGAGCCACACTCAAGGAGCCAAAGAGCCACATGTGGCTTGCGAGCCGCAGTTTGCCGACCACTGCCCTAGGGCATTGGCAAAATGAAGGTACAATCAAGGACCAAAATCAACCTTATTTTTCTCTAGGCCCTAGAGTCTAGGTCTAGGGCTTTAGGAAAAGAGGGAAAACCTTGCACGAATGGTCCCTGGGCAGCCGTGGGCAAACTACGGCCCGCGGGCTGGATCCGGCCCGTTTGAAATGAGTAAAACTAAAAAAAAAAAAAAGACCATACCCTTTTATGTAATGATGTTTACTTTGAATTTATATTAGTTCACACAAACACTCCATCCATGCTTTTGTTCTGGCCCTCCGGTCCAGTTTAAGAACCCACTGTGGCCAAAGAGGGAAAACCTTGCACGAATGGTCCCTGGGTGTCATACTCCATACCTGATGCTTTTTATTTAAGACCATTTCCAGAATTTGGTACAGTGAGTTTACTTAATAAATTGACAATCACTCCTATCTCTAGATAGATCCTCGATCTCTAGATATTTTAATGGTACCATGGTCTTATAAAAAAAATCAGCACTGTGAGGTCTAAGTGGTATACTGGTGAATAAGTATTACAATTAGAGTTGGAATTTTTAATATAATTTTTATATTCAGCTAAAATTGCTTCTTTAAAAGGTATGTCTGATATCTTGGCAATTTCAAAACCATCTACCAAGATTATTCTTCATTGGAGATTGGAGTATGTTTAATAGCATGACTGATAAGGTAATTTTAGGAAGTGGCAGGGAACTTGGGTCAGGCAGAAAAGGAAACTAAAAGGAAACCTAAAAGATAGCCAGGAAAATCAATAAATGATTACTGACTATTTCAGAAAAGATGACTCTAAATTATTGTAAATTAATTCTAAAAACTGTATCACACCTGAAATTTCCTCCCTCCTCCACTTTGTTGGTTTGTTTGTTTTGGCAATGAGTTGAAAAAATATATGAAGGACATCCAGATGTGCTTATAGTATTAAAGGTGGGCTATCTGATGCCTTTTCTTGAACTAAGTTGGAGGTAGTCAGCTATCTCTCACTCTAAGAAAATCACAGGTAAGTAGAATTCCCTGCAAGGACATTTGATCCCTGGGAGACTTGAAGCCCTGGCGTGCCAGCGCCTGAACTTCATTCTAGAAAAGCTTTTGGCTCTTGGAAAGGCTTCGGATAGATTGATTACAAGAGTATGTTCTGCCGGCTCTGAAGTCAAGGTCACATTAACTAGTAATTGCAAACATTTAAAGGATAGTATGAATGGTATCTAACTGTGTCTAGGTTTTAGAGTTTGTGTTACCAAATTTTATATTATGATTAATAAATATTATTAATTTCTTTTTTAAAAAATCTTAAGATAAATGTATTATGGAGGACAGACACATTCTATATTCCTTTTATCTATAAGCCTCCTGATGGAAAGTTCAGCTTGTCATACCACAAGTTCACGTGCATTGCAACATAATGCCTTACAAGGAGATGAATTGCCTCTGGAAAGTGAGGTTGTACCCAGTGCTATGAAGGAAGATGTTGCCATGGCAGTTAAGAATGCTAGATGCCCTATAAAGTGGACTTGAAGAGAATTTTGTTCCATGGTATTCACTTTATTGGAGGCTATTGGCCTGGGAGCTGTGAATAATGGTCAGCAAACGCATCTCACCTTTGCGACAGCGTGCTGACCTCTAAACAGCACAGGATGGGAGGGCTGATTTCACTGGAGCCAACAAGAGAAGTGCCCATGGAGCAGCACACACAGAAGGCGCTCTGGCAGGTGGGAGGGAGTGTAGCAGGTTCCGTGGGTAGAGTACTGTCCTCTCGTCTTGCTTGAACTGTCAGTGACTCTCCCTTTACCAACATTGCAGTGGCTTGCAGGCTAAAACTCAAAGTAATCTTGGAAATAGCCAGTCCAATTCACTCAGATTTTAGAGGTTGAATCCAAGACCCAGAAACTGTAAAAGACTCTGCCCACCCTATTTCTGTATTTCTGTTTAAATGCAGTGTGGGGCTTGGTAGCCCTTCACGGCTGTGAAGACCTGTGCATGCATTTCAGTTCCCAGACTGAACAGCTCTCAGATGCACAGACAGACGTAGGAGCCCTCATGAGAGTGGCAGCCTAACTTGAGTTTCCTATGCATTCTGATGAGCAAAGCATTTGTGAGTGGGAATTCAGTGTTGGGGCTGCTGGGGCCCAAAGGAACCGTCTGTGGGGTACAGATTGCTCTGGGGAATGAAAGCTAACCTGACAGAGTGAATGGTGTTGGCATGCAGCATGCATTTTCCTTAATTATGTTAATTGAATCTTAAAAGGGAAGTTTTCTAGGAATAATTTGCCTATGCATGAGAACTACTTGGCCCCAGATATGATTCCTTAAAGGGTGCATCTTGCTGACTTGCTGCTACGAGTGCTGTAATGCACACCATTTCACTGCACGGGCTCTTCATCTTCTATGTCGCCTGGAACACAAGTTCTACAGGAACGAGAAGATCCTGATTGGGGAAGGATGGGGACAGGGGGGTAGTATGGGAATATGTCAGTGGAATAGCCGCTGTGTTTCTTCCTGAAAGTTAAATCCAGAGTCCCATGCGGACAGCTCACGGTGGCAGTATGGCATTTCCAGCCTGCAGGGACAGGGGGTCCCGTTCACTTGCTCTCCTGTCTCCAGCCACAAGGAGGAATGTGGTGCCCCCCATCCCCATGGCCTCCCTCAAGGAGCCCTCAGCATTCATCAATCAGCTCCTTCTTTGGGGACCCCACTGACACCTACAGCACTTTCGTTTAAAATAAAAAAAGCCCACTCTGGGCTGTAGTTCTGAGCCTTATTTCTGCATAGATGGTAGACTTCTGGCATCTTTTCTTCCTTTGTTAGTAAGGCAAACCAACACCACCTGCAATCCACTGGGCTTGGATTCAGTTAACTCTCCATTTTCACGGCTCCAAGGTAATAAAAACATAAAAGAGCTCTTCACAGTTCTGTACTAAGGGCTGTTTTGTGGTTGAGAACGCCTTCCTCTTTCACAGTGTGGGCAGGGCTAACAGGAGCAGCCCCATTCTACACAGAGAAGTCCTCCTTTCTCAGTCCATAGTCCCAAACTCACTGGGGACAGCTGCTCTCTGTAGTTCTCAACACCACCCGGGGGCGTATGCCAGGGCCCTCCCAGCTCCTCTTCCAGCCTTTCGGCACTAGGGACTTTTCAGTCCTTCCCACTGTTTACCCGGCCTCTGTCAAACACAAACACTCATGAACACCCGTGCTCCAAACAGACCGAGTTCTCAAGGTAGCATAATTGTGCCTGTTCCCTTACTATGCCAAACTTTTTTTTCTTTCCTTTCTGTGTACAAAGCTCCCTTTGAAGTAAGGGATCTTTTGTAGCAGAGACAGAGCTCTGCATAATGTGGAATATTAAAGCTAACAGCTTTCTCTTTATGCACTCCAAACACAGAGAGACGATAATCTCTCCCACGAATATAGACGTAAGAATTGTAGCCTTCTACTTTGGTTTGGGGAAAGAAGATTGGTTATAAAACTCTTCTGAAGTTATGTTGATGAATTCATTTCTTCCCCATTGCTTGTTATTAAAATGTAAGTGTTGAATTTAAACTCCAATTTAACACAATTTTTGCTCTTCCTGCAGCACCTGAAATTCTTAGAGGCTGTGCCTACGGACCTGAGGTGGACATGTGGTCTGTGGGGATAATCACCTACATCCTGTAAGTGAAGAAAAGCAATCTTCATGCAAACTGTCTGCCTTTACTGTAATATTCGCTAGGTACTGGGGGCCTCATAAAAAGCAAGATTACTTTTTGACTTTTTGTGATTTTCTACAACATACTAAACATACTTAGTGATATAATTTTCTGAAATTGAGCATTGCTTTTTATTTTGTAATTTTCTTGGGGCCAGTACTCCTGTCCAGGGCTTTCTGTGTCTCATTCTGCTATGCAATGCAAAGCAGATTTGGGGAACAATTCATTATTTGGTGATAATAATGTATGTGAAACTCGTGTTCATTTATTTTAAATGCTGTTATTTTACCTATTTGCATCTTGTCAAAATAATTATGGTATTAGTCCTTTTTAAAGGGCAAACAGATATTTAATCTCTTAAGCAACCCCAAACTGGGACATTTCCCATCAGAATGTCTTAAATGCATTTTAGCTATCAGTTTTATTTCCTTTCTCTGTTAGGTTCTCAAGGCCCTGAGTTTAATACCGTAAACTCTGAGAAACATTAGGTAGGAAAAAAATGGGCTAAATCTCTCACTCTCTGGTATCCCCAATTCCATTCTTGAGCTCTTTCTATCAATAAACAAGGGGTTTTGGGAAACTTGCCAAAGAGATGATGGAATTGCAGATGAATACAGGGGAAATAAGAAAGTATGATAGAAGAGTGAAGAATATGCCTACAACAGCAAAAAAGCAAGATATCAACGAGTTCCAGAATTTAATTCAAAACAAGCAGATTTGGTTGCCATTTAAAGGATACTGCAAGGTTAATTGTTGGAACCTATAATATTCAATTCTGTAAAGGGATTTTAGAGAATGTAGAAGAAAGTATATTGTCAGGTCAGCCTGCCATAATAAAATACCACAGACTGGGTGGCTTAAACACAGACATTTATTCTCACAGTTCTGGAGGCTGGAAGTCCAAGGTTAAGGTGCCAGTAGGTCGAGTTCTGATGAGAGTTTTCTTCCTGACGTGTAGACAAACACCTTCTCACTGTGTCCTCACATAGCAGAGAAAGGAAGCTAGCTCTTTGGTGCCTCTTCTTAACATGGTACTTATTCCATCATGAGGTCCCACCCTCATGATCTCCTCTAACCCTGATTTCCTACCAAAAGCCTCATCTCCAAATCCCATCACGTTGGTTAGGGCTTTAATACAGGAATTGGAAAGGGGACACAATTCAGTTCATGGAAGAAAGAGGGCTTTGTTTTGTTTTGTTTTTAATTTGATAGTGATCTTAGAAATTGCAGTGTTTAGGTAATATGGCTAGGCATGGGGTGACTGGGGTCAGACCCCCAACCAAGTTAGTAAACTCTGAGCATAGACATTGGTCAGTAGCCAAGACTAAAGGGTCAACAAGCAACCTATAAGTAGCCAGAGGCGATTATGTGATGTCCAAAGATATTTCCTGAATGTACTGAAGCTTCAGAAGATTTGGAGAGGTAGAGACCATGTTTTTTCTTATGAAAGTAAAAAATGTTAGGTAATTTCTGTTTGCCACACTAAGTTCTTAATTCATTAACATGAATTCCTAAGACCACATGATAGAATTTCTAAATTCCTTCAGCTTATATTTGAGATCACTTTTATACTGGGAAAGAATATTGTCTCCTGAATTATGGAGGTGACATATCATACTTAGTGACATTAAGAGAAAAACTGAACTATACAAATAATGATTCCTATTTGCCCCTAAAATGTAACTATGCCCACCCAGTTACAATTTCATGTTGAAATGTTATGGGAGGGGTTAAAGCATTAAAGATATGTAAGAACTCAGAGAGATGGAAGTAGGAAATTAAGTTACACTCACCCTGAAAAAATGAAATATGGAATGACTATAACTCCATGGTACGGTCACTGACAAGGGGAAATGGAGAGAAGAATCTGTGATCATTTGAGACACATCTTATTATAGCCTTGAAAATAATTTTAATTGTCCTTTCCCCTAGTTACTTAAGATCATTAATTAATAGGTGTTGGTTGAAAGTAGCAGAAGAAACCCCCAGAATGAAAGTAAGATTGCTACTTACAACAAATATCCCTTAATTTTGGTCTAACTCCTGTCAGCCTGGGGGGCCTTTATTTTTTATGTGCCCCAGGCATGAAACGCTCTGGCCATCCACACAGGCATCAGCTAGGATGAACCCAGGACTGTACGTCTGAACCCCTGACTGATATAAGAGCAACACCACCCATCGGGTGTCTCCTTACCCATTGCCAGGGGGTCTGGGGACTTTTCACGTATCTGTAGCTCATTAATAATTGGTGAAGTCTACCTGGGGAGGTTCACTGGAACGTTTTCTCCAGGGAACTGTGCCCTTGGACCTATGCATCTCCTTTATTATCATTGAAAGTTCTGCCAGGCCATTTTGTGTTATGACCTTGCTATTTCCAATGATGACAGTAGGCTGGAAATGAAGGCCATGTTGTTGTTTCTCACAGGAATTCTGGTCCCTCTACCTTTAAAACTAAACTCTTGTCCCCACAGACAAAAACAACTACTGCAATGCTGAGGTCAGAGTCAGAATCAGATTAACGTCAGAGATTCAAACTCTCCTTCAGCTTTCAACAAGGCACTTCTGCCCAATGGCTTGGAGCCATTGTACTATACATTCACACATCAGGCCAGTGTGATCGTAGCACCCTCCTAAGTGGTCCTTGTCAGCAGTCTCATTTTCCCATTTTTGAAGGGTTTTTGACTCGTGTGTGTGTGTGTGTGTATGTGTGTGCACTCTGCTGTGTGTCACATTTCTTTCACTTTTGGCACTTCAGGCTGACATGACATAAACTTTTTACCTCTGTCACCAATGCACAAATTTGCTGACATGATTGAAATGAAAGAAAGGCATTTGAGTATTGTACCTTCTGAACTGTCATTTTTCTCTCTAGATTTCCAGGAAACACAAGCTAAACTAAACCTGGAAAGTTGGCTAATTTCTCCATGACTAACCAACAGGCTATTTTTCTAGGGTTGTGGAGGGCCAGGTAAGGCTGGGCTGCCTCCTTGTCAAGGTGTGGACATGCGCTCCCTTCTCTCCTTAGGCTGGAGTCGGATCCTCTGTGTGGGCACTGCAGTGGGAGAGGGGGGTGCATGGCCTGGGCCACAGCACCTCTGGCCTTGCCTTTGCCTGGCTGCTCCTGAATGTTTGAAAAAACAAAGACTCTCCCAAAGGGATGTTCCCAGAGCAAAGGGATATGGGAATTGTTTCTTCTTAGAAACCCATTATGTTGGGATGCAAAACATTTCATGCTCTGCACCAATCTGGCCAGGAAGAATTTGGGGAAATGTTTTTTAACTTATTCATTCTTCCCCCTTCCTTGCCCCATTCTCTGTCAAATGCAGCACATGCCCTGGCAGGGATTTTTTTTTATGGTTTCCTTTTGGTGCCTAGTGATTTCAGAACCTTCACCATCTAGAAACAGTGGAGGCTTCGTGGTCCTGGACCTGGAGCTCACTTTTCCTCTCTCTCTCTTTGGGATGCCACAGGTGGTTCTCCATTTCTTTCCTCCCACTTCCTCCATTCTTTTTTCCTGACCCTGCTGTGGAAAATGAGAGGGAACATAGTGAAATGTCTGTAAAATGTACAACAGTGAGGCTCTCATACAAGGTGGAAGAGACGCTAGGCTGCTCATCTCTGTTGGTTGCATCTATCTGTTCACTGTATGAAGTTTCAAAAGGCCATTCTCCAACAGTAGTTTTAGCTCCTGTCTTTGTTCACTCAATCCAAACTGGAATGCAGTGGAAATATAATGCTTATTTATATGTAGGAATTCAGTGGATAGGGCTGAATAAAAATGACTGAAAAATCTTTTCTTCCCACCTTTAAATCTCCTTATTCTCTAAATCCTAATTCTTCCACCTTGTAATAAACTGGAACTCTAATCAATCACTATCTTCTTGATTCCTGGAGAAAAAATTCATGGAGAGTCATGAGCATGGTGCTTATAATAATGTTAGCTATTGTCATAGGTGTTTTGTGTCATAATTATTAATATTAGTATAACTGTTCTTAGAAATCTTAAGTTGGTTTTGCATCTATTCCTACTTCCTGACAACATGATTGTGTGTTTACACACTCAAAGGCAAATTGTAACAAGGCAATTTCATACCTGTGCTGAGTAGACTTGCATTCATAACAGGAAGCTGTGAGAAAGAACAATCTTGAAATTTCTGCAAAAATATTGGTGAAAGATACTTAAGTTTTGAAAGACATTTTGTTCTCTATCTTTTGTCCTTCTAGACTTTGTGGATTTGAACCATTCTATGATGAAAGAGGTGACCAGTTCATGTTCAGGAGAATTCTGAATTGTGAATATTACTTTATCTCCCCCTGGTGGGATGAAGTATCTCTAAATGCCAAGGACTTGGTAAGTGTGATCAAAACAAAACAAAATTAAATCCCTCACATTCATTTTTAGCTTACTAGTGGGCAGTGTCATTTGTAAAATTTGCCCCTCTTAATATCTTATTTCTTTATAATTATATTTTTAATAAAACAATGCAAGCTAATAAATTTTCTTTATACATAATGAAAAATAGATATGTTTGACTCATCATTAGCTGAGTTATCACAGATTACAAATTACTACAGTATTAATTATCTTTTCCCACTTAGTCAATGTAGAGCCTTGCTTATGAAGACAGATGTGCTAGGTGAACCTAAACATAATTTACACAGAAGAATTCTGTTTTAACATGGCTGGCTATTACCTAGATTTGGTTGTATTTAAACTAAAACAATATTCTTTTCTTAAAATGTTTAAACTTATTAAAATACCCTGATACTAACACAAGTCCCACCATGCATCATTGGCATTGTAAATAAGTTACACTGTACTAACAGTGCATTTTGTTTGCTTTTTGTTGTTGTTGGCTTGATTTACTTTGCTTGTCACTTAGGCTTATATTGGAGTTTGTTTGCATTCAGGAAATGAATGGGGAGATGGCCCACCAGTTCTAAAATAAAGAGGATACTAGCATGTAATTAAACATTTACCATCAATCCTCTAGAGAAAAATTATGCAGAAATTACTAAAAGCTGACTTTTAAATCACAGAAATTAGATCTCCAAGGGATCTAAGATGACTTCCCTTCATTTAAAAAAATGTATATATTTTTTTTTATTGATTTCAGAGAGGAAGGAAGAGGGAGGGAGAGATAAAAACATCAATGATGAGAGAGAATCATTGATTGGCTGCCTCCTGCACGCCCCACACTGGGGATCAAGCCCCACAACTTGGGCATATGTCCTGAATGGGAATTGAACCAACCCTCCTGGTTCATAGATCGACGCTCGACCACTGAGCCACACGGGCCAGGTGCTTCCCTCATTTTTAAGATGAATGTGCTAAAGCCCAGAGAAATGAAATGACTGTCTAAGGTCATATAGCTTCCTAGCAAAAAGTCATTGTCAGGAACTAAAGAATCAGGTTTCCAGACCCCTCATCCAAAGCTTTTTTCCCCTCCAAACATTTTCTCTTTACCATCCACATTCTTTTTTTTTTAAATATATTTTATTGATTTTTTACAGAGAGGAAGGGAGAGGGATAGAGAGTTAGAAACATCCATGAGAGAGAAACATCGATCAGCTGCCCCCTGCACACTCCCCACTGGGGATGTGCCCGCAACCAAGGTACATGCCCTTGACCGGAATCGAACCTGGGACCCTTGAGTTCGCAGGCTGACGGTCTATCCACTGAGCCAAACTGGTTAGGGCAACCATCCACATTCTTTCATGAGGCAGATCCCCTATAGGCCGTGACTTTTCCAGTGTGCCTAAGCGGCGACAGAGTATGTGTGATGTGTGGATGTGTCATCCCAACTTTGCCCTCACGTCAGGCCCCACAGTCCTAAACATCTCTTGAATCCATCCACTTCTCTTTACTGCCACCACCACTGTCCAACCCATGCTCCAATCTCTCCCACTGGACCACTGTCACAACCTCCTGTCTGATCTTCCTGCCTCTTCTCATGACCTTCGCTACACAGGATCCACAGGTATAGTCTTGTAAATAAATCACATCATGTCAAGTGTCTTAGGATAAATCCAAGCTCCATAACAAGATCTACTCACATCGCCTGGTCTGGAGCCTGTCACCCTCTCTCGTGCCATTCATTCCTGTAGCTTTCCTTTGGTCTCTGCACTCCAGTGCACCAGGCTTCCAGTCCTTGCAGCTCTGGATTCAGGTCATTGTTCTCTCTTCTGCCTTGTAATGTTGTTTCCTGTTTCCTCCATTCTTCCCCCCTCTTCCTCCCCACCATCTCTCTGTCTCTCTCTCTCTCTCTCTCTCTCTCTCTCTCTCTCACACACACACACACACACACACACACACACACACACACACGTCTTGCAGGGGTAACTCTTATCTTCAAGCCTTAGCTGTCATTTGACATCCTCGGGGAGGCTAATTGCCCCCCTTTGGCAGTCCCTCCTCCTTCCTTTGCTAAATTATTCTTTTGCCCCTAGACTTCCTCTTTCATGATAGTCACCACTTATATTTACTTGTGCAAAAACCTTCCTTAAACTTTGGAAGAGGATCAAACATATGTGCCCAGATCTTAGTGCCATATGGACATGTAATACAGACTATAAATGTTTACTGAATGAAACAATGAATCAGGACGGAGACCATGGATTTTTAAAAATTGGACACAGCTAGATTCAAGTGCCCCTTTCCTCACAACCTAAAGGTATAGCCTCAGGCTTGTTATATAACCTGTTTATGATTTAGTTTTCTTATCTGGGATGACACTGGTACCTATCTCTAATTGTTGGGAGACTTAAAGGATATAATATATGCTAAGTAACCACCCCCAACTCAATAATAGTTCCTTTATTTAGCCATCCTTTCATATTTTTTTATCCCTTCCAAAATTAAATGGATAAGAATATTAGTTAGTAGTGATGTTTCTTCTGTTAACTAAATTCTGTTAATCAATAAATTTATAAAGCGTCAGAACTACAGGAATCCTGAATCTGTACTTACTAGCAGAACCCACATCTGTTCTGTCTTCAACAGAGGCAGCAGTGCCAATGAGGGGGGAGTCAGGTTGTAAGGGGGCTGTAGGATATTTGTAAGGTTTGGGTTTGAAACCTGGATCCTGGATCTCTCTGACCTTCTGCAAGTTTCTTAATAATTCAGTGCTTCAATATCTTCAAATGTAAAGATTAATGCTTGTTCAGTGCCTATTGTCTTTCAATAAATTCTTTGTATTTTCATGAGGAGGAGAATGGTAATCATGAGGAAGAGGAAAAGGATGAAAAGGATGATTGGAAAATATCTAATTGTCAAGGATATTGTTAAAGAGTAGGCATCATTTACATAAAAAGTATTAGTTCACCTGTTCAACAGGTGATAGCTATGACTACTATCAGATTTTTATTTATTGCTGTGCATTCGTTTTCTTAAGCATCTGTACCTCCCTCCACCTCCTCCCAGATTTTAAGCCTAAGCAGTCTCATGTCTTTGCCCTTTACAGATTCAGTGTTTTTACCCCAAATACACATTTCTTTGCATATTTTACAGAAAAGCAAAAGGTGAAGTGGATATTTATACCTCATTTGACATGCTGCATGATTTTGTTAGCCTGTGTTCAGTTCTTAGATTATTAGAGTTAGAAAAGATCTCAGACCTTAAATCATTCAAAGTTCCTCATTTTACACCCGAGTAGACCAAAGGTCAGAGAAGTTGACTGCCTGGGAGGCACTACTGTGTAGTGACCACAAGATGAACTCTGAGGTAGCACAGACCTGAGTTTGAATACATTTTCCACCAATTACAAGTTGACCTTAGACAAGTCACTAAATCTTTCTGAGCTTCCTTCCATCCCTCCTTTATGAATTAATAAGGTTATGCAAAGGATTATATGTGTTTTTAAAATTATATATATATATATGTGTGTGTGTGTGTGTGTGTGTGTGTGTGTGTATATGAATTCAACAGATGATAGCTATGATTTTCATACACACACACACACACACTAGAGGCCCAGTGCATGAAAATTCGTGTACTGGGGGCCGGGGGGGGGTCCCTCAGCCCATCCTGTGCCCTCTTGCAGTCTGGGAGCCTCGGGGGATGTCTGACTGTTGGCTTAGGCCTGCTTCCTATGGGAGAGCGGGCCTAAGCCATCAGTCGGACATCCTTAGTGCTGCTGTGGAGGCGGGAGAGGCTCCCACTACTGCTGCTGTCTCGCCAGCCATGAGCCCAGCTTTTTTTTTTATTATATAGGATGAATGGATTTACAAAGGAAATGAGATCATATAACAAAAGGGCCTAGGAGAATGTTCATCGGCACTCAATTCACAGTAGGTCTTTGTCTAGGGTCACAACAGTTGGAGACATAAGTAGGGCTTGAACATGCCTTCTGACTTCAAATAGTCTCTGACTCATTCCAGATACCTCCCTTCTTAGCCTTATTTGGGTTGTTGATCTTCCTGGCAATTTATTGTCTGCTCTTTCTCAGAAGTAGGGGTAAACCTCCCAGAATGGGCTGTCATGGCTGGATTCGTTCTTAAAACAAATCATGTCCCCAAGCCACTACCACCTGACTTTGATTCTAAATAGGCTTTTACCCCTGCACTCTGTTTATTTCTTCAAGTATCCCCAAAGGATTAGAGAGAACCGTAAATGTATGCATTGTGGCATAATCATAAAGGCTATGATACTATCCCATTTTTGTCACTTAATCCCCACAGAATGAATGATGATGAGCAAATGATTCCATCGTCACTGAGACGTGTTTGAAGTTCTGAATTCTAAGTGATGTGAAGTGCAGCCTAGTATTATTCAGATGCTGGTTCTCCTTGAAAGAGCTTACACTCCACAGGCCAGCCAGGACCTGTTTCTTTGACCTCTGTTGGAAAGTCTTCTCACAGTTTGGGCTCTCAGGTGGCATACACCACTATCTTTTCACTCCCTCAGCTACCACTCTCTGAAGCCATTCTTACCCATGGTGGTCTCTGATAGCTTTAAAAAAATGTTTTTTAAGTATATTCAGTGGTAATGCTAGGGAAACAGAATCAGACCTAGAAGTTCATAAGCTGAGGGGCAAGCCTAAGTCACCATAAAAATCTCCTTTGGCTCTTTGTCACTTCAGGTCAGGAAATTAATTGTTTTGGATCCTAAGAAACGGCTGACTACCTTCCAAGCTCTCCAGCACCCATGGGTCACAGGCAAAGCAGCCAATTTTGTACACATGGATACTGCTCAAAAGAAGCTCCAAGAATTCAATGCCCGACGCAAGCTTAAGGTAAGATGGCATTTGACTTGTTTGTTTTAAAGATGTCTCCCTTATCTCGAACTACCAAAGACAATTCCACCATTCTTCATCTAATACTATTATTCATCTCCTCTGGTAACAGGAAAATCCTGCTTTGAGATCCCAACCATGCTGGCATAAAACCACTTACAGTCTTAAATTATCCGTGATAGTAATTAATTGTTAACAAAGGGAAATGTCTTGTATATTGAGATTTACTCACCAAATACATTATCACTGCTTCTCATTTACTTAAAGCTGACCTGCTTAAATGGCATTGTTTAGGAAACTGATATTTATTCAGAAAGTTGTCTTCTTCCTGAATATGTGAATATTGGGAAACAATCTTTAAAAACTATGTTTTATAGTATAGATAAATAATTAGCATACTTGGTAAAAATTTAAAAAATTCAAATGACATAGAAAATTATCCAGAGAAATATATCTATTTTTATAAGACATATGTGGAGTAGAGAAAATAGCTTTTCTCTTATATATTGGTGTTTAGGACCAGGTATATATACAAGGATTTTAGAGAATAGCTGGGGGCAAAAAATGGTGCTCTACTCAGACATCACTTATAGACTGATACTAAATAAAACTGAAGGGTTTCATGGTTAAACTAATTTAAAATACTCTGGATTAAATAACCTTAACTTAACTCGGGATTTCTCAAATAAATCTGACCATGGAACTCTTTTATCCCTATAACCTCTATTATAATACATCTATGAAACCAACGTTTCATGAAACGAATACTTTGGGAAACACACTCTAAAATTTTTAAAAACTGGTAATCCATAGACACATTTACTCGGTCTTTCAATTGTCCAGATAATTGAATATACAGACTGGTTTAGGATTAAAGAGATTTTTCTGTTATATCTCCAAACGAGTTTTCATATAACAATCTTGGTATAATAATATTTTGAAAGATTGAACACTCACATAAAAAGCAAACTTCCTAAATGCAAAGTTGAGATTGGGCTCTAGTTTGGGATTTTCAGTGGAGGTGACACCTGACCCTTCTGTTTCCAATCAGGCAGCAGTGAAGGCCGTGGTGGCCTCCTCCCGGCTGGGCAGCGCCAGCAGTAGCCATGGCAGCATCCAGGAGAACCAGAAGGCCAGCCGAGAGCCATCTCCAATCCACGATGGCAGTGAAGCTGTTGTTGAAGCTGTTCCAAAAGAGAAAGTTAAAAAAGATGGAGCCCAAGTGGCAGCTGAGATGGCAGAGGCTGAGCTGAGGAAGAGTTGGGCTGAAGAAGAAAATCAAGATGCTGATACAAAGGATGCTGAGGCCAACTTGATGGTGCCCAAGGCACTAGAGGATGGGACAGAGGTGGCTGACCCAGAAGTAAAGGAGGGCCCAGCAGAGGAGCAGCTGAACATTGTGGAGGAAGCAGCAGACCCTGAAAAAGAGCAAGAAGAGCCTAAAGAGCCTGCTCTGGGATTTGGAGCTGAGCAGAATGATGTGGTCCTGCCGGAGCACTAAGCTGGCTTCCTTCCAATCTGGAAGCCAACTCCTGGTACTTTATACATTTCGTTCTTCAGCAAGGAAGGTGTGGAAGCATGACATGCGCTATAGTGATTCTGTTTTTGAGGTGCAAAAAAATATATATATATCAGTTGGTAATCCTAACTTCAATGCATGTGACTGCTTTATGAAAAATAGTGTCTTCTATGGTATGTAGTGGATACTTAATACCGATGAGAGTTAAATTTGAAACTATAAGTAAACACATTTAAAAACATGCATTTTCAGGGACCAGGAGCACACATTTGAAGTAAATATTAACCAATGGTTTTTGCTTTGAAAACCTAACCATCAGTACCCTTTGGATTTCTTCACAAGGCAATCATCTCTTTGGACTGTTCCTCAGCCAGTAGTAGGTAGTGCTCTAAGATGTATTTCTATGACATTCACATTTTACTTATCATCAGTGTGTTTCAAGTGTTTACAAGGAGATGGTTATACTTTATAGTTGTATGGCATGTGCAAAAATATCCACAACGGTAAGAAACTGAAGCATACTTTAAGGGCCATGAAACCATATGCTCCAAAGCTTGTGTAGAGAATGCTTTTTTATTTTATCCTTAGCTGTATATTCTATATTACTAATAACCAAAAATATTCTATCTTACAGTTGTTCCATTTTACAATCCTAGGGAAAGTATTTTACCAATTCATCCTTCATTGCTATCTAATGAGATGTCCTTCTGATGGACAACACTTAGGGAGGAGTAAAAAATTTTAGGGAAGCCCTAGCCAGTTTGGCTCAGTGGATGGAGCATCAGCCTACGGACTGGAGGGTCCCAGGTTCAATTGGTCCCAGGTTTGATTCCGGTCAAAGGCGCATGCCTGGGTTGCAGGCTGGATCCCCGATAGGGGGTGTGCAGGAGGCAGCCAATCAATGATTCTCTCTCATCATTGATGTTTCTATCTCTCTCTCCCTTCTCTCTGAAATCAATAAAAATTATTTAAAAAATAATAATTTTAGCTAAGAAAAAAAGATAAGGACAGGATAAGACTAGTACTTAGAATAACAAATATTGACTCATCATTTTCCAGGTAAAATTGGATTTATTAATGAGCATGTACAACTTTAAAGATAGGAGCATTGTTATGGATAAACTTTATAATTACCAAGTTTCAAACATTTAGGAAAATCTATCCCACAGGCTGATGCCAAAATGTCTGAATAGAGTGGGAATGGTATTTCATTAAAAGATCATTCATTATTGATTTACTAGCATAAGGAAACATTTTTGTTTGTAAAGTCTTTTTTCCCTTTCAATTGATGGTTGTTTAGAAATACTGCTTATAAACTAGAGATATTTTTGAAAAGCTAGTATATCTTTTTCTCACACTTGGAATGAAGTGCCCACATTTTGCAATGCAGCTTTGAAAGTGTTCATGTCAATTTAGGACAGTGCAACTTTTTATTTACCTTAAACAACAAAAACAAAAGAAAGGATGAAAAAACACTGATTTTTAAGTCAGACTTGAGAAGCTGTAACATTAGACTTTATACTTTACTATGATTTTTTTCCAAAAGATATTTCTTTGATTTTCATATAAATGCTTTTCCCTAATACAAATCACATTTAAATTACAAGTACCTCAGATTTATTTCATTTGAAATGAGATGAACATTTTTATGAAATTATGTATCACATTTTAGTACATTTCATAATTTCAAAAAAGAATTACAATGTACAAAATTATTATAAAAAGTGACTATCACATAAAAATGCTATTCCAAAAAGGAGATCTTAAAAAATTATTTGGGCACTTTCTCAAAGCTATTATATTGGACAATGAAATAAAATCTCTGGTTTCTGGCGTGATTGGACCTTGGCAGACATTCTGCTTTCCAAGCACAAATCTTCCTTTACTGCCATTCTCCTGAGAAGAAAACAAGGTAGGATTTCTCATCTTCCATAGTTGAGGGGCCTGACAGGTCGCTGACTTGGAGGAAATAGCCCTTAAGTGAGGCACATCACCTGGGCTCAGAGAAAGACGAGTTTTGTTTTATTTTATGTTTATTAACTAGTAGAGAGTACTTACCCTCTTCTTCTGTTTCTTTCCATCTTCATTCTCTCTCAAAATTTCCATTACAGCTATTATAAAGGGCTCACTATTTTTAACCTCTAAGAATGCCTTTTTTTACTAAGCATTAAGATTTCCATTAAAAATGATAAATTGCCTAGTGTACTTTTCCCAGTGAGATCTAACAGGTATGTACAGTAACAGTTCCATATATTTCAAATGGGAAGAAGAGAGGGAAAAGGGATATTATTATAGAATGGCAATTAGTTGGAAGATCAGATCATATGGTCCCTCCCAGCCACCTCCATTTTGTTCCCAGGGCAGTTCTGTCATCCAACACCCAGGGCTGACTTCAGTGGTTGGCCCGTGGACTTTAGAAACAGCACTGTGAATGCCAGGGCCAGTGTATATGTGAGAGTTTTGCCCATTTAAATGAGTAACATGCCTATTCTTTGATGAGTTCTAGAGGGTGTAAGGGTAATTTATTTTTAATCTATAAATTGCACTCTTTAAAAATCACTGGAAGTTTTGAATCTTGACTTGTATATTAAAGATTAAGTTTTAATAATGCCTAAATAGTGGCTAATTTAGTCAGGTCAGAAGAAATACAACATAGGTTCAAATTATTGGGTAACATTTTGAAAGTGCTACAAACATTGATATTACCTGATGAAATGCGATAGATCATCTCTCTCAAAGATTACTTAGCTAAATAATGGCAGATAGAGCTTTATTTTGATAAACTACTTCATAATGTTACCCCTAGTCAAATTATATTTAAAGCAAAGAATTAAGGGAATTTCAGCAAAGAACAATAAATTATGTTTTGCATTTTAGAGCTGACAGTTATATTACATTATTGATTTTTGTTATAAGTTCAGATGCATAGCATAACCTACGTTATTTTCCCAGAACGGACAATCTTGATCTCCACTATTTAAAAAACCGAATTGGAATTCCAGTGATTTTTCTCAAACTGTAAAGCTCATTCATTCCATGAATACATGAATAAGGTAGAAGTTAGAATAATATGGTTAAAGAAGTTATCATCTAGAACAAGTGCTGTCTAATATAAATATGATGCAAGCCACATACGTAATAAATATTTTCTCTTAGCCACTTAAAAAACAAAACAAAGTATTAGGCAAAATTAACTGTATATTTTAATCCAACATAGTCAAACTATTATTCTAGCATATCAATATGAATAATTGACATTTTAAATGTTTGTTTTTATACTGTATTCAAAATCAGGAGTATATGTTACACCTTTAGTAAATCAAGCGCTCAATAGCCACATGTGACTAATGGCTACTGTATTGGAACAGCACTGTTCTAGAGTATTTTCTAAACAAAATGACAACTGAATTTCTATGCTAGATTATTAGATTTGAGCTGCTTCCATTTTCCACACTGATGAGCTGGTAGGAAGCCAAAAGGAAAATATTTCAGACATGTCATAGCCTGAAATTAGTAAAAACTTCTGCTTAGTCACGTGCTTCAGAGTGTTTCCCAGCATGACTCGTAGAGAACAATACTTTGCTGGGGGCCACAGTCCCTCTGATCGCTCTGGGCCCTGGAATCTTGACTATAGGCTAGTCTCTCCTGAGTACTGCCATGAACCTAGTAGTATTCTTGTGGACCTATACTTACTGTGGGTGAACCATGTGTCACCCAGGAAGGACTGCACAGAGAATCTTAATAGGATTTTGCCGGCCTGGACTAGGCTGGCACCATCCATGTGTTGCAGGCAAGAGTTATTTCTAGAAATCCACTAACACATACCAAGTCTGAATGATGAAGATTACACGATGAGGACAATAAGCCCCCAAGTGTGGATAGGACCATCAGCTGGCTTTTTTTTTTTTTTTGTTTGTTTACATTTTCTTAGAAGGGTTTAATCAACACTGCCATTACACATGGATTCAAAAGACTTTTAGATACTTCTTACATACTGCTATTTTAGAATAATCCTCAATGTTCTATAGCCATTTTTAGTGGCAGACTTAAAAAGAAAGAACAGTTTGCCTTATACTGTGACCTCAATGACATAGCATTTTAAACATATTTTGTAATTTAGAATGTCTAGCAATCCCTATTTCCAGTTTCACATGCAAGGTAACTGCCTGGGTTACCCACAAACTGAAGATTTAAAGAGAGCCATTTTGTTTCATAATTTTGTGTGTGTGTGTGTGTTGTTGTTGTTGTTATTTTTTTACAGAAGCATCTGGTTGCATTCCAAATTAGGGTAAAAAAAAGTAAATGCCAGAAAAGGCAAAAAGTGAAATTAGTAAACCATTTATTCTGTTTTAGGATTATTCTTGCAAAGCAAATGCAAAAAGAAAAAGTCAACAAAGTGAATCAGCACTAGGTTTTTCTTGATGAGGGTTAATTTCATATACTAGTATAATTGACATAATTACAATGCCATTATGTAATTTACTTGTCATTGCAGAGTATTCAGTATACTATTTTAGATGGTGCAAAGTTTCCAGACGTTTACCTACATAATAGCATTTGTAATATCCTTGTAATTGCTGTGTATTAGGTCATATTCCAACTTTTTTAATGCTCATCACTGATGTGTTCCTGATCAAGGTCATGGCTAACATCTGCACACTTCCTGGTTAAGTACTAAGTAATGGTTAGACTCTGTATGTATGTGTCTTCAGTGTTTTTTAAACATTTATGCACATGTAATCTCAATGTTGGTATTATGATATTCATAACCATATGATAAGCAGAAATGTACCCAATCATTTTCTATAATTTTTTCAACATCCTTTTCTTCCCCTGGCACAACTCAGGGGAATTTTCTGGTCCCTTGGCAAATAGAGAAAATAAAAGACCACTGGCGAGAAATCAGCTATCCACCCATAGTAACCAAGTTCAGCATTTCCTCTTTCTAAATTTTGATTTATTAAGTACCAGTGTTTGTCATTATTACGCCTTTCAGATATCACCTGAGATCAGATCACCTCAGCTTATAAAGTCCAACCATTTATATACTTATCTTGGAGAGCAATAACAAACTTGACTAATGTATGCTTCCTTGTTTAAAATTCTGGTTTTCATAAATGCTTGTGATGTACTTGAGGATGTGCTTGATTTTCAATACAGCTTTTCCTCTGTTGCCTGGCCCAGAGGTCTACCTAGGGAAGGATGCAAGTCTTCCCATGACGGGACCATCGACTCCTTCGCAGGAATCAGGCATTGCTCTAGAGAAGACTCTAGGCATCTGACCTGGTTGAGCTCACATGAGCCAAATGGAAGAAAACCTCTTCCCAAGCTCTGATTGAAAGTGCTGCAGTTTGAGTATTGGTGTATTGCCTACTGTTCCTCAGTAATGGAAAATGGGATTCCACAGTCACTTGCTCTTTCCAGTGTCTTGGTTTGCTACCACTTGTTCCATGTCTCTGGCCATCAGGCTGCCTTTTAGGAGTGTGAGATCCCACACTGGCTGCAGAAATGTGGGGCCTTTGGTAGCCCAGAATTTACTCTAAAA